TTTTCTTTTTCATAAAAAACAAAAACATTATTTTTCGTACTTTTTGTGTAATTTGGGTACTACTATAAGACCTGAAACTATGAAACATTTAAAAAAAAAAAAAAAAAAAAGAATTGCAGATGTAAGAATAAGAAGGACACGAGACCAAAAAAGAAAAATATAAAAATTAGGAGATAGGTAATTGTAATAAGCATCCAATGTTTAATATCCAAACAAGAGTTGCCTTTCTATATTCATGCACATAAACCTTGATTCTGCCATAAACGGCTAAATTCATTTTTGTATACTCAAAATGAGAACACGAATTCGAATTCAAAACCCAGAAAAGAGAAAACTATTCATAAGGTTGATTTTTTTTTTGTTTTAAAGGAAAAACATCCGAAACAAATCGTGATTACTAATCAAGATTTTTCCAGATTCCGATATAAAAGTTGTATTTTTCTCGTTTGTACGGCACGAACTAACATAGGTTTGGAGTTAAGACTAACCAAAAAAAAAAAGAGAGAGCTGTACAAGTGGAATGTCAAAGAAAAAAAAAAGACCTATTCTTCTTCCTTTTTCGTCTTCTTCTCCGTCTTTTTTGCTATTTGATTTCCTTTTACGGCTCAACTCGATCCCACTTGTACCGACCTTCGAGCGGTTTGTCATTGACGATATCGAAGTTGTACCTGTGCCATTGCCAATGCCAAAATGTACGTTAGGATTCGGATTCTCTCATGATATTTGCTAAACTACGCGTCTGATAATCTCTCTTATCCTGCGCTGACATTCTTCCCCCATGTACGGACTTTGAGAAAGTAACCAGAAATTGAAGATGAAGAGATGACGATGACACTCACTTCTCTGTGAATCGCTTCTGCTTCTCGTCGTCATCCCCTAGCTCTGAGAAAAACTCCTCGATCTCCTCCGCCGTTGGTTTCTTTCTCACTTCCTGTCCTCCATCCTTCTTTGTCACTGGCGATGGTTCCATGTCGGTTATTTCTCCCAAAGCCTCGCTCTCTGGATTTCCCTCTTTACTGCGCCCAGAAAATAAATTAAAAAACGCAGAGATCAGAATGCGAGAAGACGATTAAACTGTCTATTTTGGGGAAAAACAAAAAATTAAGAGAGACTACGAACCTGAATTTTCTGGCGGTGACTGTTGAACTTTCGGTTTCGGAGATTTGATGAGCCTGAACAACAAAACGGAAAAAAAAAATCAATGGAGATTTTCGTTGTTATTGTTACAGACTGAATCATTAGTTAAGAGAAACAGGGGAGAACGAAAGAAAAACCGAGAAAATTCGAGTTATCGGATGATTTTTTTTCCTCGAAAATAAAACAGAGAATCGAGAAAAGGAATTTCAAGTGCAAACGAGCTTCGGATTTTAGGTATTTTACCTCCAGATCTACAACAGACGTCGGACTTTTCGTCGCCGCGATTTCGTTCGATTTGCTGCTAACAGAGTCGGAGCAGATGCTCGAGCTCTGGCCATCGTCTTCTCCGGCGGAGGTAACAGAGCGTCCACCTTGAGCTGAATCCGCCGATGAAGCTACGGGAGAAGGTGGAATCACGGGGACGACGACGACGACGGCATGAGATTCCGCTGATGAATCATCGAGCTTCTTCTTCTTCTCCGGAGGTGAGACGGTTGTGCTCGAAGCTTCAGTCTCTTCAGCATCTCGCTTCTTCAAATCGGAATTTCTCTCGCTCATCTTCTCTATTTTCTCTCTCCTGCTTTTTGTTCTGTTGCTCTCTGCTTCTTTCTATTCTGGTTTCGCTTCTTAATAAATCAGGGGAGATTTTGGTGGGGAAGAAGGAGAGAGGAGAGAGAGATGAAGAGATCACGAGCCGTTGATTATTTCAACGGATGAGATCTGATTCCTTCGCAAGCGGACGGAGGTTATGGTTATACACTTATAAACGGCGACCCATAACGGCGCCGTCACGGCGTTTCGCTTTACTTACACAAACGCTGTTGGGATTCGAAACGCGCTTCCTTTTTGCCGTTTTTTGGCTTACTTCCAAAGCAATCATTTTTTGTTTTAGTTATGACGTGGTAGATACGTAAAATTTCATTTATTAATTTTACATAGAAGAAAGAATTACATTTGTTCACTCTCTCTGAAATCTGAATCAAGGATTTATAACTTCCTCTCATTATGAAGAACCATCGAGCAAGTCTTTTCATAACTGAATTTTGTATTTTCCACAATCAATTACATTATTAATGATGTGACATATCGGGTGTTTATGTATGAGTGGTTGGTTGATGTGTGGATAAAGATACCAAATTAGCTTGATTCCTTACTTCATACGCGTTTTATCATGGGTTATAGTATAAAATAAGGGTGAAATAATTTAATGCCAACCAGTTCATAAATTCAGAAAGAGTACACGTGCGCAAAATTTATAAACATATATGTCGATCGATTTTTTTGTTTAAATGGTCAAATATCACATGCAATTAGCCAAAACTATACAAAATTTCATCGACTATATCCAATATTTCAAAAGAGAATATACAATAAGAAACTGTTGTCGGAACAAAAAATTATATTCGTTGCATTTTTTTACGTATTAGACTCCTGCTTACTGATCTAAACTCTTGTTTTTGTTTTGTTATATTTTTAATAATTCAAAATTTAAGATTCTGAAAGTTTCCAATGTGTAACTTTTCTTCCACTCAAATACATACCAACGACATATTTTGTCTTATACATCAATATATATTTAATGACATGTTCAATGAAATCTTGTACATGTGTTTTTAAACCCATTACAAGATAGCGCCAAAGAGACAAAGCCATTAAAATCCAGCTATAAATTGTTCATACAGTTAAAAGTTAAACTAAAAAAACCAATTGTAAACCGCTAAGCTTAATTCTCGTACTGAAGAGCACAGATACGAATGGCCAGAATGGTTTACAATTTTAATCACATTTGCTGATATTTGATACTGTACTACATATTACTAATTTTTTTTATTCTTCCAATGAACTGGGACCAATTTGAATAAATTGTAGTATAATAAACAGAATCATCGAGTAATCTGGGACCAAATTGAGTAAATTGTAGCAATAAAAAGAATCATAGAGTAATCTGGGACCAATCTTGAATAAATTGTTGTAGTAAAAGTAATCATCGATTCATAAGTGACTGATGCAATACAGAATTCGCTGACCAAAGGTATTTATTTAGGGACGCATTAACTGATTGTCAACCTCTATTTAACTATTTGTAGTCTACAATTTGTAGATTTCACTTGGTAGCTTCGGACGTTTGGTTATTAGTATAGATTCCATCCATTATATAAGTCTTATGTTTCATCATGAAATTTTTGTCCAAAAACGTTTCACATTTCGAAATTAGAAAATAACATCGAGTGATTCCTAAAGATCATGAAGAAAACATCCGAGTCGGATTCTGGTCACCTGATGATAACCATCAAAGAAAGAGTCAATCGAGGAGTTACTGTTTTCTAACAGACAAAAGAACAAGTCTAACAGATGTAAAAAAAAACACTTTTCTGAGGGAATTGTGTTGACAGTGGACTGTTAGTTGGTGAGCTTTCTTTTCAGTTGGAGTTGGGATCTGTGTAACTGTCTCAAATCCCTAAATTTTGCATTTATCTTATGCTTCCTCCTCTTTTATGCTTTTGGCTTTTCATGTCAACGATTTATTTATTATTTGTTGCGTGTTTTTTCTAGTTAAAAGTTAAAACTACCTGTTGTTTTAAATGTTTTTCGTTATAGTTACATAGAGAAAGGACCATTGAAGAAGCTCAGCAACTCATCTTTTGTCTATGATCATAAATTCACATTTCAGGTCCATCTGAATTTATAATTAAATGAACCTGATTTGTTTGTTTGCCACTTACAGTAACATATATAATGATAAAACTAAGTTCGAAACAAGACCAGTCTTTCTAAAATTTGGCATTCATGATTAAATCTGTGAGCAAATGGAAAAATGAAACGCTTCTCTTATTTTGCTTTAAATTTGTATTTTAAGGTGACCGAGACTCCATGTGTATTTTACATTGACCCCAAGAGTTGCACTACCAAAATTAATCTCCTTATTCGACCAATTAGTCTTATTGAACTACTTCTAAACTACTACAACTACTTGGATATGATCAAATTATCTACAAGAGAAAAAACAAGATCTAGGCCAAGAAATCATACATTTTCTCTTATAAATCAGATTCCAATTATTACATAAACTTATTACCACAACAAAGGATATTTACATACGTTAAAAAAAGGATATACTGTAGTTACGTTTCTCATTTTATCAGAAGATCGGGAACCAATGCATGCATGTACTCGTGAGTCGTGACCAGAGCCGCTGAGCCGACCGGTTTGAGAATCTAACTCCAAACCCAAAAAAAAAAATTTGGGCCACGCATTACCCATTTACCCTAAGCGATAGTTTATGTGGTTTGTATCTAATAAAGTAATAATAGTCAAGATTATATTCTCAAATAGACAAATATATGAGTATATGATAAAAACTCTTTTTAGACACATATTAAGAAAATAATCAAATATTAAACTTTTCTGTTTTAGGGCCTGATTGCGGTTCGTAGCGGTTTTCGGCGGTTTATAACAATCACGACAACCGCTTTGAATCGCTCTATACCACTCTGTACCGCTCTATATCGCTGAAAATCAAAAGCTCCTTTCCGCAAGCGTTTGCGGTTGCGGGCGGTTGCGGGTGGATAATTAAAAAAAAAAAAAAAACACAAACTTATATAAAATCCGAAAATAAATAATAATATTTATTAAAAAATAAGATTTGGATAATAAAATCACAATATAAATAAAAAATTAGTACTTTTAGTCAATATTCATTAAAATCATATAATACTTATATATTTATAAGTTCTACAAATCAAAATTCTCTTCATAAATATTCTTTTCATACTAATACATATATATCTAATAAATAAAATTGTAAAATAAATTTAATTTTCACATTAAATATATATTTTGAAAATAAAATCACATTTTTATTTAAATTATAGAAATTAAAAGATAGACGTAAGTATTATACACATATTATTCTTTATAAAAAAATTATTTTTAATTATGTTGAACCATAAATTTAAAATTTTCATTATAATATATTTTTGATATTTTTATAATTATATAATGTGTTTATATTATTAATTTATTGTTTAACCGCTATTGCATCCGCAAGTGAACCAGTCATAAGTAACCCGCAAACGCATCCATTTTCAATTGTTATGCCAGTCGTACAAACCGCTTAATAACGCTACTAATCACAACCGCCCGCTTCCGCAAACTCCCGCACCCGCAACCGCAGCGGTTAAACCAGTCAGGCCCTTAATTTACCCCTACGCCGCCTGCACTGCTTCCTCGTACGCCGCCTTTCTCTCTGGATCCCACTCGCACATCTTGCCGTTGTTCTCCGGCGGATACACTTCAAAGTACCTATCGAACTCCGGTACTCCTATGCTCTTGTGAATCCCGGTTGGGGCCGTCTGACCGGAATCTCTACGTTTGTAGAAACCGGCGAGCTCCTCGAACATCCCCGACTCCATCATTTGGTCGACACGCTTTGAGAGGTAGTGGTACAGAACCGAGACCGAGACATCCACCCACATGAAGCAGCAATCGTACCTTCATTTGATCAAAGAAAGTTTACATATAAAACGTTTTGTATGTTTCTAAGAATTATTTTTTGTAAAATATATCAAAAATGTAATCGTTACATGTAAACAGAAAGTCTAAGATGTGAAAATATACACCAAATTTTAAGACTATGAAATCATTTTTCGGAGAAAAAAAAAACCTAAATGTAAGCACAAACGTTAATATTGAACACAAACAAAAGCAATAGAGATTTATATATAATATACCTCAACTCGGAAGAAATCTTGGATCCAGAAGCGAATGGATTGGTTTCCCGGTTGTATTAATGGTCGACAAGGAGGGCATGAACGAAGGAGTTTGATCCACCGGCTATTATCGGGAGCTTCCCACGAGAGGCAATCTCAGAGATTGACCGTGACGCCAAAGTGCGGAGCTCGGAAGCGGTTAGTTCACCGTCGGGAGGAAGCTCGCCTAGTAGGTGGTGAGGGACTCCACACCGCTCAGGTATTGTGATTTGATTTGTGGCAATCTCCAAGCCGTTGTAGAATTGGATCTTGTCAGAGTTGATGATCTCACCGGAGAAACGGGTTGCTAGATCAACTGAGAGGCGTGACTTGCCTGTCCCGGTGGCTCCCAATATGACAACCACTTTCTCCTTGCGTGATTGGTCCATGCAAACGGTCATGCAAACCAATGATCTTGGTCGCATTTGAAGCCGAGGAGAAGTGGTCGGGAGGAAGGAACGAGACATGAATGTGGAAGTAAGCTCTTGCATGTTGACCGGAAGGGGACAAATGCTGTTTTGTTTTGTGTGTTCTTTTGATGCTTATTGATCTCTCTTTAGATCAGTTCATGGATCATAATTCCAATGGTGCTAGTTTATATAGCCTGAAGAAAAGAAAACAAAATGATTACTGAGAAAATTAAGGTGTCGTTATTTGGTTGCTAGATGTCAGTATTGTTAGATATTTATGCTTTTTTTGTTGCTACTGGTAGATTTTAAGCTTTTATTAATATTGATATATCATATACATATGTACTTAACCATTCATGCATTAATGTTGATTTTGTTACCATAGACGCTTTTATCATATTAAATATTAAGTGTTTTAATTATTCTCTACCTTATATTGAACTGACCCTTCTAATCGAAACCTGGCACGTATTTACTGTTTCTTATATTACTTAAAAAAATGTTTTTGATGATAGAAAAAAACTAATTTAATAGGAATATACATATATAGACCATTTATAATATAGGTAACGAAAACACTATGATATATAACTATATACAAATTTCACATGCATGCGTCTTGGTAAAACAACAAGATCAAGAGTTTAGGTTCGAGTATCAAAATATATATAAATTAGAACTGTAGAGAGAATCTAAAAGAAAAAAAAAATTGAATACTAAATATTGACATCAATATGCTTAGAGCTGCATGCGTGCTATTTAACATGAAATCATTAGTATTACAATCAATTTTTATTTTCACTAAGATCGTACGTGAGTTACACAGCTACGTTTTTTGAGTTAGAACTTCACCACACATTAATTTCACGTAAACTCAATTCTGAAAATGGACATGACATACCTGGTCATAGAGACGAAGCATGGGATCATACTTGTCGGAGAAGTTACATTTCATATAGGTTTCTTCTTTCCAAAGAAACGTAGGAGTTCCCTTTCCAGTGAGCGTATGGAAGTCTATCTTTCCATTTAACCCTTTCGTTGGCTTCTCTAATCGCCACAGACAACTTTTTCCACTCCTTTATATCACCTCCGAGCTACATAACAATAATTCAAATGGAAGTAACCGAGTGATTTCAAAAATATTCCGGTTTACTTCCAATTTTGATCAGAATTTTCTTAAAACAAAAAAATTCATCCACTGTGTAAAGATCTACCCAAAAGAAATATGGTAAAAAACGTTTCCCGGATAACATAGCAGCAATTGATGCCAAACGATAAAGAGCTCATTAGTTTGAAATCAAGTGGTTAACGTGAAAATAATGTTTGTGATGTCCATGGCACCATCACTGGTAGGCTCTTCCTCAGAATCACACTCGGATCCTCGGCTTCAGGAACAAACCTCAAGCTCTAGTCGAATTGCTTCCCAGCGACCACTCTGCTTCTCTTCACCAACAACCCAAAATCCGTAAGCCTCGTAGATACATTCCTCAGGTATGTTCATCTTCTGTTGAAGATGAAGATCCACATCTACTTGGTATTGATCTGATGTTTAAAACTTTACGTTTTATATAGCATTGTTATATTATGCTGACGACAAGGAATGATAACGAGCGCGTTGGTTCTACCAGAATCACAGAGTGCCTAGTTGGCTGTGAAAGAGATTCTAATTCTATTGAAGTTGCTAAGAGGTACTACTCAAGTCTTTTCGATCTGATCTTGTAAAACTAGTGATACTATGCGTGAAAAAATGGTTTCTTAATTATTATCTGTTTAGCCTCTTGGAAACCCTTTGGACATATTTTTTTCTCTTCTCTTGTTGATCCGATATCTATAGATTCACTACAAGCAATTGCGTGATTTGTTTGCTCTAGTCAGGTTACTGTGAAACATGGTCTTGCAGCAGAATCATTGAAATCCATGATTCAGAACGGTGGAGGGTCCAGCTTTTGGTCTATATATGGTCACTTTTGCTCAACATATTTTCTGGTCAGCTAGAAGGAGTTGATCATGATGATCACATCAGACCAAAACGGTAAGTATGTTGTAAGTGTTTAAAGGAATATATGTACATGCATAAATTTTGGAGGTAAAATGTTTATGTGTGGGTAAAGCATACATAAATACTAACATGGTTTTGTAAACTATATATATAAAAAGTAACCCATAATACGAGAAAGAGAGGAAAATTATTATGTTAGCTGTCTGTATATATACACACATGTAACTAACTAACTAGTAAAGAACAGTAATGCTTTGAGTAACTAAAATTAAATATGGAATTTTGTGGTTAATTAAGAAAAAGAAAAAAACAAAAACGACAAAGAAAAGGCAGAGACATTTTAAGACTTATATGTATCACTTATGCTTCTCTTTCTTTTCAATATGCTTTTCTCTCGGTAAAAAGGCGTTGTTTCAAGAGTTCTGTACGGAGACAAAAGAAACGATGTTCTTCAAACATCTCATCACCAAGTTCAAGGTTTGTTTTTTGTTATTTTCGTTAGTATCATCGTTCATCTGTTTTAAAGTTTGTATCTTTTTGATCAAGGTTCATTCTTTTCTTTCATTTTGTTAGGATCCTCTAATTAAAATTTTGATTTTTTTGTTTTTGTCATGAAACATTCAAACTTTTGTACAAACGAATGTACTTCTTTTTCTTCTGAATCTTAAGTTTTTATGTACGGACACGAAATATGTTCTTCAAACACATCTCATAAGTTCAAAGTTCAAAATAGCTGTTTTGTTCATAAAAGTCCTTGTTTTTGTGATTTTTGCTCCAAAGGTTGGAGCTTTTTGTCAAATTTCCTTCTTTTGCTTTAGATCCTCTAAATTTTTGATTTTTTTTTTGTCTTGAGACATTGAAACTTTTGTACAAACGAATGTACTTGTTGTTCTTTTAAATCTTAAGTTTTATGTGTACGGACACGAAATATGTTCTTCAAACATCTCTTAAAGTTAAAGATTGCTGTTTTGTTCATTAAAAGTCCTTGTTTTTGTGATTTTTGTTCCAAAGGTTGGAGCTTTTTGTCAAATTTCCTTCTTTTGCTTTAGATCCTCTAAAGTTTGGATTTTTCTTTGTCTTTGAGACAGTCGAAGTTTTGTATGTACTTGAAAGATGTTCTACAAACATGTCAAGTCCTTGTGTTTTGTTGTGATTTTTGTTAGGATTCTTTTTTTTTTTGTTCCAAAGATTGGATCTTTTTGGTCTAAAGGTTCCTTGTTTCGTTAATAGTGACTCAAGATTTGATTTTTTGGCTTTCTTCTTGTGATAAAAAGTTTTGAGTTTTTTGGTAAGGTTCGTTGTTTTGCAAAATTTTGCTGCATTTGACTTTGATTATACAATTCTCTCGATTTGACCATGATAGTTTATTTTGTGTCTGATTTTGAACATAGGGCACGATTGCTACTCCTCGACGATTTATGTCGGCACAAGTCATCAGAACCCCGATGCCGCTGACATCGGAACAGTTAGTGGGGATAACAAATCGGGTTAAGGATGAGAGCGACAAGTGTTTTGACGCAAAGGAGGAATACATCCTGCGTCAGATGGTCACTTTGGCTAAGAAGCATATCGTATGTGACGATGGACTGAGGTACGTTCTCAAGGCAGTGGACTTATCCAATTGGATTATGGAAGCAGCTTTGGTGAGGAAAGTGATAAATCGGGTGATTGTACCCTCTCTTTGGAGAGAGGAAGAGGATGAAGCTCTGTTCAAGCATGATTTCAAAAGATTTCTGATCCAAGACAGAGATGATTTGAGCAGAAGAGGATTGGCACGTCAGATATTTAGAGGGATAGTCTATCAAGGAGATGAAGTGGTCCAATCAATTTCCTACCAGGAGATACAGTTGCTGTTGAGGATGAGATCGCTTTGGAATTGGCAGAAATTTGAATGCGGGATTGACCTTGCGGTTTGCTGGTTGGAATGTGGTATGCACATCGACATCGATGGATTTTTAAAAGAAGCATACCATCATCGAAGGAGTCTTGGGACAGCTCAACAACCAGAATGATCTTGGTATTGGTATACTTATGTGGAAAGCTGTCTGTTTGAAGCTGTTACAAGAGGGAATTCTTCGACAACCACCACCTGTCTTGGTCTCTTGGGGAGGTAATATGCTCAAGGTCACAGGACATAACCTTGTAGAAAATTCTAGAGTTGTCCAATTCTATGCAGCAAGCTGCACTATAGAGTTGGAGTTGTTAATGGCCATGAAGAGAAAAGGTGATGCGGCTGACTTTGATGTATTTACTGATCGCTCACAAGATATGCTCAGGCTCATGAAAAGCCTCTTCAGAGCCATGGAAATTCCAGGATGTGAGGAGAATGAGCAACTGATGCGATGCATTCATCTGATACTTGGGCTCGTTGATTTCGGTGGTGACATTAATCAACTCTGCTTCAACAGTCTTCTCCAAGTATGCTGCGACGAAACCAGTAACCAAGAATTCAGCATGTATTCCTTCAAGTCGGTGGCTGTTCTTGTTCAGCGTGATGCATCTTACTCTGCTCACCTAGAAAAGAACATTCTTCCCGAGGATGATTCTGAAAAATGGAATCACAGATGCGTCCTTGCCTTTGCTTGCTCAGCTTTTGGAGTTAGCCACCCCACCCATCTCACCAATCTACATGGCTATCTTTTCGCTGATCCTCCAGCCTGAGACATGGAAGCCATGCTGCAACTTTGAAGATCTTGTGCGTTTTCTGGAGCCTTTCTTACACAAGGCACCTGGTGAGGCAAGTGATAAGCTGAGTCAAGTTCTGTGGTTAATCGAAGAGTTGGCCTCATCTCCTGTAACAAAAGATCGTGGCTTCCAGTTGCTCACTGCCGTGTTTCAGCTTGACTACATTGAAGAGCACCTCACTGAAGCAAACAAGACCTATATGGTGCAGCTTTACGCTCGTTACCAACAGTAAGTATTCTTACAAACAGAAGCTTTTGATATTGTTTTGGACTTCAAGAGATATTGTCTCCGTGAACTAATTTATGTTTTGGCAGGCCGTGAACAAGTGGAGAAAGGACAGCAAGGTTTCAATGGATGTGTCATATGCGAGAAGCCATTTGCTGATTTGCTCTATCTTTCCTTCCATTTTTTTTTTTTTTTGCTTTCTGCAATTAGGAGTTTAATAGACTGGTGGCCAGAGGGGATGTCTCTCTAGATTTTGTGATGTACATGCTAATCTCTTAGCAGAAACATAGTCATCCTGGTATTTTGTCCCTGGACCACATACTGCTCATGCAGTTTATTTCTTTTTGGTGCGACTCTTTCTTTAAACTGAATTTTTATGGCTATTTCTTATCTTGTTTAAACAAGAAATTCAACTCCCCCCCCTACTAAACACACAAGAAACGTAACATGTACTTGTCGGGATTTGAGTAGTGAATTAATTATTTCTCCATTTACTTTCGGTCTGAGAAGATCAAATTCTATACAATGAGGCATGAGCGTTCTAAGGGCAGACACAGACAGAATCTACAAACATGGAAGAAATTTTGTTTCTTTCTTTAGCAAATATCTACCTAAACTGTTTGCATTCTTAAGACGTCCATCCAAATGGGTATGGCTTGCACTCAAGGTCCCGAGTAGCTGAAACATGTGTAACTGTGGGACCTGCAACAGTAGACAGACACCATGAGTTCCACATCCCAAGTGTATGACAATATGAGCATGGAACAGCAGTGTGGTGCTCTTTTGTTATAAGTACAATAGCATACGCATAAGAACATCATATGCATAGACCAAAGAGAAGATGAAACAAGAAGTGCAAACAGAGTCCCCTGTTTAGGTGAGCATGATTTTCGAAACAAATAGAAGACTCTATGTATGTGTGAAAACTTGATCAAAATATAACCCCAAACTATCAGCGTGAACGCGGACTGATAAAAAAATGCAACCAAGTTTTCAATAATCTGATCCTGATTATTTGCAACGAGTTGCTCAGAATACAGACTGCTTTTCTTAAGTATCTTAAGCTGTTTCGGTTCCTAATCCTACACCCACCATCAGTTTCTAGTTTAAAGCTCAAATGCATCATCTTGTTCCCAACACATAAACACAAAGAGGGGACATGGCTAATTACTTGATCAACAGTTGACGTTCAGCATGGAGGTCACCAGACTCATCTCTGTGAAGTAAACTCTGGTGGGTGCTTTCTTTTCCATAGAGTAGGGGCAATGCAAACTTTGACGAACTAAAACATATAACAAGAAGAGTCACTTAAGGCAAACCTGTCAGAGAAGCTCCAGATCAATAGTTTCAGTTTCATGGATTCCATGACATTATCCTAGACACAGACTGAAAACTGGAGATGAAGCCACAAATGTAAACTGTCAAGGAAACGTGTTATTATGTTTTGATAGAAGGAAAGGAACATGAATTTCCAAGAAAGGAACATGTTTCTGCAACATGAATCTCTCTTTCCCCTAAGAGAATGATCATCAAGAGTTGTCTTACCATGACGGAGAGTGGAGCAGCGTACTTGATGGTCGAGAAAACATAAAGCAACGAGGCACAAGGCTGCAGCAACAAGACAACGGTAGATGACAGCAAGTTTAGCACCTGCAATCTTTTTACTTAGAAATTCAAGCCATAGCCCATAGCTAATGAAACTTTGATTTTGACTCTTAGAAAACTGACGGTTTCGAAATTCAGACAACAAAATTAAAACAGAAAACAAGAGAGAAAGAGCAAGGAAGAAAAGAAATTACCGGCAAAGGATACCATTGTTGTGGTTAGAGCTATTTCATGGTCTCTACTCTTATTCAAATAACCCCGTAACAAATCCATCCAAAAATTTGCTGCATCCATTGTTGTTGCTCTCGATTCAAATATCTCCCGCTCTCTCTCTCTGGATTCAAAAATTTAAGTGTAAGCAAGCTCTGAACTCTTAAGAGATTCAAAAATAATATTTTGTATACATAAAAGGAAAGGTATACTCTAGATTCAAAATTCAAGTTTCCACCAAAAAAAAAAAGAGATTCAAAATTCAAGTCTAATATCAATTCCGACTCAAATTTAAAAAGGGAATTTAAAAATAGGAAATAATATTTTACAAGACACCGGTACAGTATTTAAACCAATGACGAAATACAATAAGTCAATAACAATTTGGAAGTAAACCGTTTTGGTAAACCGACGGTGTATATATCGTCTTGGTCCGCCGAAACATGTAGAAGAGCTTCGGTTTAGATTCATTTTAGCGACCACCTGGTCCTCGCGCTCGCAATTCCGTCGGTGGTGAAACGAAATCGCCTACACGCGAGACCACTCTAATTCCCGATCGATCGTTCCCTTCCGATCATATGAATGGGTGTTCCAGGAGACTACACGATTGGTAACATTTCTGTGACAATTTTGTTTCCGGTTGTGAATCTGAGCTGCGGAGGAAATGGTTGAATACATTTATGCAATTACGCGTGCAAACTTGTGATCACTTGCTAATCTTTAAACTATTGCACTTGAAGGAGTTTGATTGAAGATGAGACTACTGATAATCGAATTTTGGAGTGGAGTTTTGCTTGATAATCCAGACTAGCATTTGCAGTTCGAAGATGGGCCTTGGCGCAAACCGGGCGAGAATCCTTCTTCTATAAGGACATAATTTTGGTCAGTCTTTCTCCTTGTGAATTCTCATATGTCTGGATTTAGCCATGTTCAGATTTGCTCTGCCTCGTAGGTGAAACCATCAGCAGCGACATGAGGATCTCGCATTATCTCCTACATACATCATATGACAATAAAATCAATTAACATTATGATGAGAAAATGCATTTTGGGACAAGAGATCAATACAATAGGCTAGTTTTGAATCCTAACCAAATTGATGGGACAGATAAAATCTTGGGGAGGACATGGACTCGAGTCTGCTTCGCTGCTCCCGTTGTTTCTTGTCTTGTCAGATTCCTTTCTCACTTTCTTTGGTGATACCTTAGTTTCTAGTATTATTCGTTCCTGTTTTTATATAATAAATTTCCATCAATCATCATATATCTTCCATTGAATGGGGGTTTTAGGCTACTGTTGATAAAAGCTTTTATTGAATCTTTATACTTACTGGTTGTGCTTTGGGTGACTCGGATTCATGCTCATCATCCCTTCTTCTTCCTTTGCTTGGTTTTTGAGCAGAACCATAAAGCTCTGAGAATGAGTCTGATGGATTCCCAAAGTCAAAACTTCCTTCTCTATTAAACAAAATGAAAAAAATAACACTCTCTATTCAGTTTATGCAGTTATTACACACACACACACTCGCAAGTGTAAAAGTTCACGACCTTACCTTGTCTTGATGAGTTTCCCCTTGCAGATGAACCACATTTTACAGGAATGAGGTGCATGTTGACTCACATACTCTGCTTTTCTAGATGTTATTGACATTCCCCTGCATTTTTAATTAAGGAGAGGAGTGTTGGTGTTTCTGTTGTGTTATGTTCCCTGCATTCAACGGACCAATATTTTGAAATCCGAACATAGATCGATTCTCGAGTTATTCTTACCTGGAGTAGTGAGGATCAGCAGCTGCTCCCATAACGAGCTTCTTGATATTGTTCCGATAGATGAGCTCTACAATCCCTTCACCAACATTATATCCCGAGATCACTGATATATCCACATCTTCTTCTTCAACCTGCATCGTGGAAATCAATCATTTCAAGATTATGTTTCCTTTTTGGTTTTTCTCGATCTTTCAAGGCCATAGTTTTGATTGTTTGCTTGGATTAACACATCACATGTTATCGTTACATGGAATGTCTGGACTTGTGAACAGCATTGGTTCTATGCTCTGAGTTGCAAATAACTCCTTGTAAAAGAACTGATGTTGATGGCTTTAAATCTACACTTGGGAGAGTTCTGGCTACTAGGTTTTGTGTTTGCAGTTAGGTTCAATGTTATCTTACTCCACTCTTTTCTCGTGTCATTTAGGAGTGAGTTTAGTTTATTCTTAAAAAACCAATCCATTCTTTATATATTTTTAAGGAAGAACAAAATTTCTGTGACCCCATTACAGTCCGGAGCAAACGAAAGAGGTTTAAGTTTTATTCAGGCTGACCAAATGCTACGAAACTAATATAAAATGCTCCGAAACCTCAATGCAAATCTTGTGATATAAAAGTTGTAAACTTAATTAAGAAATGTTCCAAGATAGTAGTGACGATTAGTTTGCTCAAAATAAAAGTGATCGATAGTAAACAGGAAAGGAGAGGCGAGAGTGCTTAGCAACTTGGTTGAGAAATGCGTCGACCATGTGGTTTGATATTCGGTGAACATCGTCGACTCTCCCTGCCTTTACATATGCATCCATGAGGGCTTTGTATGTGGAAAGGTCAGCGTTTATGCGATTCATCCGCATTTCTTCAAGGAAATACTCTGCTTCGGACAACCACCCTAGCTCGCAAAACCTAGTGATAATGTTTCCGTAACCACTAGCTTCTGGATATGGATGGCTAAAGGGAGTCTTGAACGTCAGGATGGCCGTGTGAAGCCGGCCCATCTTGAAACACTCATTCACCATTATTGTGTTAAGTTTACTTTTATCCACATGATGATAATGTGGTGTGTCAGAACTAGAATCTGAAAGAGCGTGGAACAGTGCCCAAGCTTGGGTTTTCTTGTCATACTTTAAAAGAACTTCCACGAGTGCTATGGCACCAGGTGTCTGAATATCTTGCAGCTCCGTAGCTGATAAGTTACTGTACCACTCCATAGCTTCCTCCTCCTTACCTTGCTTGAACCAATACTCCATGAATGTTGCACCTGCAAGGGCGAGACGGTTGTGGCCAGTGCCGTACCTGATTGAACTATTCATGTCGGCAGAGAGCTTGATTTCGGCAAAGAGTTTGCGAGCCTCTTCGAGATCCCCGCGATCCAAAAGTCCTCGAATGAGAATGTGGGACACCTCCAGGCGCATAGCGAAAGGCGCCATAGCACTTGCATTCTCGAAGCATCCGGCTTGGGCCAAGCGTTTCACCCAGTGGAGGGTCAATGCAGCATTTGAAGAGTCGTCCAAGACTCCTTTGAGTAGGTGACAGAAGGAACCCTGTGGCGGTACCATCTTGTGCTCCTTGAAGAAATAACGGATCAAATCAAGGGCGTCTCTATACCTCCTGGCTTTGCACATGGCGACGATGACTGCGCCACAGACCCAATCCACGGCGCACTCACCATCATCGGCCCGGTTCCGGTTCCGGAGCCGCAGACCATTCCGGTTACCATCATGCTTCGCAAAGGGAGCAAGGCGCGCGTGCTTGGCCGCCGTGTCCAGGTCTGACAAGCGGATCAGGTAAGCAACTCTGTCGCGTAGAGGGATGGCTCGGCAGTCGGAATTGGGCATGTATTCTCGCCGCGGCAGAGGTGGGCCCGAGGTGGAGGTGGAGAAGCAACAAGGAGAAGGGAGAGAGTGAGAGCAAGTGCTTCTCAGGAAGTAGCGGCGGAGAAACATGTTTTGCTTTCGACGCCAAAGAAATCTTCCACAATATAACATCTCTTGTGACGTCACTCTTTGACTTGGTGGACACGGCAAAGACTTCTTATTACCTCAGTCAGAATTGCCAAATATTTTATCTTCTTTTCTTTGATCCTATATATATATTCAAAGGTGACATGATAAGGTATGCAAACATTCTGACACGATATCTGTTTAACATTTTATGCAAAAGACTTCCAGTTAATCTTGGAGGACACGGCAAAGACTTCCAGTTAGGGAAAATCAGATATTTTCTTTTCTTTAATATGGAACCAAATAATATTAATATATATGGAAAAAAATAAAAATAAAATAAGAGAGTAAAAATACGTATGTCTGTCCCACAGTGTCTCTTGACAAAGAGAGAAGAGAATGTCGTCCCTCTTATTATGTCTTACAAGAGTATATATACATGTTACATAAACTCTAGGCAACTCCACAAAAGGAATATTAACATATACTAAGATAGATTTTATGATATTTACATTCAACTCCCTAATACTCCCCCTCAAGTTGGAGCATGTAAGTCTCGAATGCCCAACTTGCGTCTAAGATATGAGAACTGGGGAAAGCCCAAGGCCTTGGTAAAGATATCGGCCAGTTGCTCTATTGGT